CAAAGAAGAGACATTTCGAGCTTTGGTCACTAGTTTGCCCGTTTTTTAGAAGGTTCTGGCGTGGCTGCTGGCTCCAATTTAATCCTATAATATATGTGATATTATGTTGTGTGGTTTGTGGTGAAGACTGTTTAATTAGGAAATAATTAAAATTCAACACGTTTGAAATTAGAGTTGAATTATTTTATTTCCGGTTGATATAAAGTCGTAACGTTAGTGAAATCGAACGCGATTTCAACTGATTGGATAACATGATGAGATCATGAGTAGGTTATGTGAGTAGATGCACGATGGGATCGTGTTATTCTGCGAGCAGCAACCGAAGCGTTTATACACAGTTTTAGTTTATGTTGTAAGTTGTCATACAACGGATTCGAAAATTTAGTTTTATTGTTCGAGGAGGCATACCTTTTTCCCTTTCGAAGTCAAAAGATTTTGATCTGGGTTTTAACGGTGTCAGGTCGATAAACTAACGTTTTTCATATTGAAGTTAGTGAACACTTTCTTGTAAGTGCTTTTGACCAAATCAACGTTTTTGAATTAAGTATATGTGTTCTGACGTTGAGGTAACCTGTTCCCATTTATTACTATCTTGGGAAGTATATTTTTCTGCAATTATTACAATGCATTGCATAATATAGGATGTTTATTAAAACAATAATATTAGGTTTCTTTGAAGCAATTATGTAATTTGCATATAAATCTGAATCTCAAGGCATGGTTTAATTTTTACTGACAGCGCATTGTATCTTAGCGAATAAACCTGTATTTAAGTGCGTTTCTGTCATATTGTTTCGAGGAAGGCACAAAGTTTTGCTTTTTAAGATATTGATTATATTCGAAAGTCCTTTATATTTTTAGATATGTAATATCTATTTCCAGAAGAGCATCAAGTCTTGGTATTTTAAGATGATAGTTGTGTTCATCAATGACATTTACAGTAGTTGTTTTATATTAATGTGACAAACACATTAAGAGAAGTGATTGTCAGCTAATTGCATCTTATATTAAACAGTTAGTATTTAGATTTTACAACTTTTCCAAGAGTTGTACTTTTGCTTTTGTTGCAATACGAGACCAGTTGGTATAAGGGTTTGCAAAGCATGGTGCTTTTCAGATTTTATATTTTTCATCACAAAAGATCGTAGGATTTTTGTATACGTTCGTTCGTGTATTCTTGTGATAATCACGGAATTTTTGTCTATTGTGACCAACAATGTCGCATATTACGACAGTCTGTTAAAGAACTTTCTAAGTTACGTTTTTTTGCCAAGAGGCAATGATATGGTTACAGTGCAAGTCTGTAGACAGTTATTTAGATTATTGTTAATATGTATTAATGACAGTTTGTGATTACTGTATTAGATAGTGAGGTATATTACTCACAGATTTTGCATAGTGTTAGAAGGCACTATATACGTGTATGGTCCTTATACAAGTGTTTTATAGTGCAATTTGACAGATACAGTCACAATTTAGAATTTGGTTTATTCCGAAATTTGTGAATTTATTTGGGATGTTTGACGTGTTAACAAATGTGTTAACAAACGTGTAGCCACAATGGCTTTAATGACAGTTGATCATTGGATATGGGTTGTTGGATTTAGATGTTTTAATTAGGTATACGGTGCCTTATTGATGTCTTGAAGGCAGTTAACATCGTAAATCAGCAGCGAGGTTGAGAGCCGAGGACGGATGTTGGGTATATTTGAACCTAAGTGGTTTCTGGCATTAATGCTATCGGCATCGTGGCCGCTATGACATTGGCATCGTGGCCGTCATAGGTACCTGGATGCATCGCGAACTGGCTACATTTTTTCATTTTTTCACTCATTCTTTGTACCAGATGTACTTAACGCTTTTCCAATAAACGCGGGCTGCTGGCTCCAATTTAATCCTATAATATATGTGATATTATGTTGTGTGGTTTGTGGTGAAGACTGTTTAATTAGGAAATAATTGGTATTATTACCACCTTGTCAGGCCAGTTCTAGGGGTTTTAGTGCTAGTTTAGAAGGCATTCATTTTACTATATCGACCTGAGCAATATGTGACGTCATGGTGGTGGTCCATATTGCCGGTCAAGAATGCATTTAACGACCGGCAATTTTCCCCGGGAAATTAGATATCGTTCAGCGCGTGAGATTTTCTTGCTGTTTCAGTCCTGGTCCAATATTTCACTATATTGCCGCAGAAATGACGTTATTGTACTATTAGGGCTATTAGCGCTCCAAAACAAAAGGTTCGAAATTATTCTATCGGCTGAGCTTAAACTATCAGTAAGGATTATTAAAGAGTATATAGTGGAATTTTATGTATGAAACGTTAAAAAAATTTAAATTTAGTGATAAGATTATCAAATGGCTCTAACTTTTATACGAAAAACCTTTCTTAAACATTAAGCAAATGTATAGTTATCAAAAAATATTGAGGTTGAACGCTCATGTCGGCAGGGCTGCCCCGTTTCTCCAATGGCATTTATTTTATGTTGCGAAGTTATGAACTTAGCAAAAAATTCAGCAAAATAATGATATATCAGGTATAACTGTTGACGGTAAAGAATATAAGATGTCCCAATAAGCGGACGATACTTCACTTTTCATTAAATATAAAGAGTCGTTGAAAAATGCTCTTAATACTATTTCCAATTTCTCAAAATTTTCTGGTCTGAAGTTAAACATAGAAAAAACTGAAGGCATTTTGGATTGGAAAAAATAAAGATTTTGAAAAGAAATGTGAAAATATAACTTTACTGATGAACCAATCAAATATTTAGGAATCTTTTTAGGACACAACAAACAAAGATGTTATGAATTAAACTGGGAAGATAGAGTAAAAAAGTAGAAAAAATATTATACAGCTGGAAGAACCGATATTTAACACTATTTGGCAAAGTTACAGTGATTAAATCACTGACAATTCCAAAATTGATTTATGCAGCATCAGTATTATCTGTGCCACAAGAGATTATAAAAAAAGTAAACAATCTTGTATTTAAATTTCTATGGGATGGAAAAAAGGACATATAAGAAGAACTATAATCATAAATGATATTAATAAGGGTGGCATAAATATGATTGATTTAGATTTTCAAATACATGCACTTAAAGCAGCATGGATCCTCCGTTTGCATAATCAAAACATGTACAATAAAATCCCTTACTTCCATTTCAATAAATTTCTTCCAAATATAGATGTATTACTCAAGATAAATGATACTAGATTCAAAGAATTTGAAAATGTTCCGCTTTTTTATCAACAAGTGCTGGAAGCACATTGTTTATGTAAATGCATCAAAAATATAAGAGATATGAAGCAACATGAACTCTTGCAAGAGGTTATATTGGGGAACAAATTATTCACTGTCAAAAATAAACCAATTTTCTTTGAATCATGGATCAAAAGTGGAATTATATACATAAAATACTTGATAATTCAGAACAGGTTCCTTGATGTTAATAGTACAATAACGTCATTTCTAAGGGCGATATAGTGAAATATTGGACCAAGGGCCGAAAGCCCAAGGTCCAATATTTCACTATATCGCTCGCAGAAATGACGTTATTAGTATTATTACCACCGTTAACGACCAGGACTGAAACAGCAAGAAAATCTTACGCATTGAACGATATCTAATTTCCCGGGGAAAATTGCCGGTCCAGAATATATTCTAGACCGGTCCATATGGACCACCACTATGACGTCACACATTTCTCAGGTCGATATAGTAAAATAAACGCCTTCAAAACTAGCACTAAAACCCCTAGAACTGGCCCGGCAAGGTGGTAATAATATGTTATATCAAAAGCTTGTAAATAAACAAAATTGGATATCTGAATATTACAGAGTTTTATCAGCCACGGGCACACTGAAAGAAAGATTCAATTTAGAATCTGTCAAGTAAACAAATATTCATAATACTTTTAAATTTAATATGAATAATGTGATTATCACTGTGAATAATCAGAAATCCAAATTCTTTTATGAAATATTAGAAAACAAACGATCGGAAAAATGGTTTATGAAAAGAAAATGGGAACAAGAGTTTTGCTATGAAGCCAATGTAGAAATAAATTGACAAAACTTTTTCTCTACAAAAATAAGTTGTAAAGAAAAGGTAATTTCAACTTTAAAATAATCAACAATATTCTTCCTAGCCTTAGTGATTTATATATATTTGGTAGAAGTGAAACCTAAAACTGCAGTTTATGTATATAATGAATTATGTACCTTGAAACATTTATTATTTTCATGCTCATATTCTCAAAACATTTGGAAACAGATTTATAATATCTCAGGGTTAAGAGTAACTTACAGAAAATTGATAATTGGTTGCGATGGAAATGACAATCATACTGAATTTTTAAACTATTTTATAAGTATTGTGTCATTTGTTATATATAAAACATATATTCAAGAACTGAATAATGGTATTAAGCGTAATTTTGAAGGCACTATTAAAACTTTAAATTTTGAAATCTGTACTCGTAAAAATGTATTTTTAAAAACAAATGGAAAATGATTAAAACATAACTCATTATACATTATTGTAATAAATTGTATCATTATATTTCTGTATCGTAAAAATCAAATTGGTCACTTATCTATTAGATTGAATTATCAACATGATAACCTAGACAAAGGTCTCTAATAAAGTACAAAAATTAACTAAAAAAATATGAATCCAAACCAAAGATAATTCTTATAATTTGCGAGAACTGCACCCTGTCATGTTTATTTCAACTGATCGTCATGGCAACAAATTTTTTTTTTCTCATTTCAATTCGATTTTTCTAAATAGATGCCCTGGGCAAAGCGTCTAGACATCAAATGGTGAATGGCGATAATAGTGTAAAGGGTTTACCTAAATTGTAAATTGAAATGTTTATTTCTCCACAAAAGTAAATAAAAAAACATAAACATTAATCCACAAATAGTTCGATTGTCATGGTAACAAGTATATAACATTTCCTCATATGTCATTTAATTTTTGCTTTCAGATGTGCTTTATATCAGAACGGTAACAATTTTTGTGATATGCCAACAATAGCTGATGGCAGACTAACCAAATGTAGACTTGGCGATTTTCTTAAACAGGATATCAAAAATCCTGTCATTCTTCCACTGTATCCCAGCTCTCAGAATCATACAAACTATCCTTTGAAAAATCTGAAGAAGTACCAAACGATGGAGTTTCCGTTTTATTCATTTGATACGGCTGCTGTCAAGGCAATGAAGACTATTGCAACGATCGGCTCTGGGGTACCTGTCATTGTGTTTGAGATTCCGAGGAATCTAGATTCTCTGAAGGCACACTGGAAGAGGTGGATGCCATATTATGAAGAATGTACGGATATCAGGCTTTTCAATGATGACAATCTTGCTAAGATTGATGATGGATCGTTGTTTACCTTAATCCCATGTGAACAAATCCCAGCTCAGAAGCACACGATGGATCCTGATACATTCTACGAAATCTACTCTAAGGCCTTCATCCCAAAAATCAAAATCAACCAGCCTGTTGATATGAAGAAGGAAAATGCGAATGCCCCATGTGTGATTAAAGTTCCAGTCTCTCAAACTAGAGGTGGTGTAAAGATAGCCATAACTGATCAGGAAATTCATGAATATGAAGAATGGGTTGTAGAACATGGTTGGAAAGAAGGACTGATATATCAAGAACTTTTGACTGATGTAATAGCTGATCGAGGAGTTCAGTTATACATCCATAAAGATGGCTCTGTCAGCCTTGGTGGCTTCAACAACCAGACATTTAGCAGCTGCTCTGCAAAGATCTGGATTGGAGGTATATTTTATAGGACTCCAAAAGAGGACAAAATAAATCTACGTATGGTGAAATTCCTGCAGCCTGCAATCAAAAAGCTCCACGAGATGGGTTACTTTGGTTACGTTTGTTTTGACGTGATGGAAACACGTAACGGAGAGCTATTCCTGATCGACATAAACCCAAGGATCTCGGGATCTAATCAACATATGTCGATGCTTGATGGAATGGCAGAAAATGGGTTCCCGGTATCGATGTACACTGAATCAAACAATTTGACAATCACCGTCGATGAGTTGATATCACGAGCAAACGTCCTAAACAAAAGCAACGATGCTGTAGTAATTATCCTTGCTGCGCAAGCTACGGAGAACGGTACATTGCTTACTGCAATTTCCGTATTTGGTACAAAGGAGGATCGCCTACTTGAAGCCAAGGAAAATGCATTTAATTTCTTCCAGGAATCAATTTGAACAATAAAGTGTGGTTTAATCAACATATGAATGCACCGAGGGCCTAGGGCCGGTAGGGATAACTCAAATTATTTAACAATGGTAGCTCTTACACAGCATGGTTCGTTATAAAAAGACATTCGTGCCTGTGTAAGACCTCACATCTCAGGAAATTTGTAAGATTAGGATGAACAAGAAAACATCAAATTATTTAACAATGGTAACTCTTACACAGCAGAGTTCGTTATGAAAAGACTTTTTTGCCTGTGTAAGATCTCAAATCTCAGGAAAATTGTAAGATTATGATGAACAAGAAAATATCAAATTATTTAACAATGGTAGCTCTTACACGGCGTGGTTCGTTATGAAAAGACTTTCGTGCCTGTGTAAGACCTCACATCTCAGGAAATTTGTAAAATTAGGATGCACAAGAAAATATCAAATTATTTAACAATGGTAACTCTTACACAGCATGGTTCTGTCACGACCCTCGTGTGGTAGCGTGGTTTGGGGGTCGCAAACAGAATACAGTCTAAGAATCAATAGTTTGATTTGATGTTTTCATTAACTTAGTTTCGGGACAAGTTCAAGTAAAAGTTGAAATGTGTATCCCTATTTATGTGAACAACATCCGTGTTCACAGTATCATAACAAAATGGGATCAAATTGGGATAAATTTGGCGATGAAAATTTAGGGATAAATTAGGGATAAAATTTTAGGGATAAATTCTGGGATAAAAATAATTGGGATGAAGTGGGACAATTTCGGGATAACAATTACGGGATAACAAAACCTGAATATAGACTAAGTAAGATTTGTCAGTTTTCAATGTAAGTTGTATGTCTCATAAAGGCGAATGGCAATAGACTCCAGATTCTGAATGTGCCCAGTGTTCAGTTGTATCAAATAAGTATAATGTTAGGGTGTGAGTATAACCAGGTGGAAGTCCTAGCCACTAGAGGGCTACGATGGACTTCAAGCTGTATATTAAGCTCGCTGGTCACAATAAAAGTGGGAAAGTTTGTGAGAATTAAAGTTGGGCTATTTCAAATCAGGAGTCTGTCAAACTCATCAGGGAATAATATTACTTGTACACCATTTAAACAAGCAAGTAATAAAACATTGGAAGTAAATGATGTTTGGGGTAACGACTTGGAACCAGGGTGAATGAAATTCTTACAATATTATCAATAAGAGAAGGGTTAAATAAGAAAGTAAGATCCTGGATTGTACTTTAGCTCTGCACTATTGCATAGTTTCTGGGAAAATATATGTATGACTTATTGTGAGTGATTGTTATTCAAAGACGCCCTTAGCAAATATGAGCTAAGATAAAGCTTGTTGCTTGAATGTTAGTATCACTAAAGTCACCTGGAATTTAGTCGGAATCTATTTTGAATCCAGAATCTACTTTAGATAAAATGAGGGGGAATTTTAAACAATTGAACACAAGAAGTGATATTCTGTGGATTTTTATAATATGTATAAAAACGACTCTATTTCTATTTATTTATCTACACAAACATTACACAATTCAGTACTGTCGAGATGGTATATCGAGTAAATAATCTCTCAAACTAAACATGCATATAACAGCACAGCTAATTGAAGTTCAGTTAAACAATTTGCAATAAAGCATAAAATGGGTCTTTTTCCAAAAATTGTAACTCAACAGTGCAATTTTATATCATCCCTGGTGGGGTTGAAATCAGCTCTCTATACTACTCACATGAAAAGTGGGACATCATTTTGCCACTATCAGACTACAATTGGTACAATTGGCAAACAAATGGGAAACAGTATTTTAAAAGTATTCTAGTATCTATAATCAATGAATTAGAATGTGGTTAACATAGAATTAGACCAGACATGGAAAACTAGAAGGGGGGGGGTGTATTAAGTCCGAAATGGGCTTCGAATGACCATGACCCTTAAAAGTACTTCAATGATCAGTTGTTTGATAATGGTTCCATAAGCCCGGGATTTCACCTTTAAATTACCCAGAATTTAACATACAAAGGAGTATTTCTAGTATATTAATAAAATTTACCCTGTGAACAAACTAAATACAGTCCCAAACTGGATGGGGGGAGGGGGATGTCGTATAGAGGTGTCTATGAACCCCAGGAATTTGCAGTTGACTCTGGTTTAGAGCAAGTTACATAAGGTTCGTAAAGACCGTAACTTTTCGTACACCTTGTCAAATATTCCTAAACGATTCCCTGTGGGGATGTTGTATAAGAGGTTTCAAGGAACCCCGGGAACTTGCTTTCGACGCTGGTTAATAAGTTACATAGGTTCTTTAAGACAAAAACTCTGCGTGTAACTTTGCGTTAACCTTGTCAAATGTTCCTTAACAATCCCTGGGACAATCTAAACATGGGATGTTCACAAGGCAAATAAATAAAATTAAGGAAAAAATCAAGTGCACAGATACTTCTTTTCAAAGACTAGAACTCTGCAACAATACAACTTAAATCAAGTCAATTACCTTTACCAACTCGTACACCTAAGTTGGTTTATCTGCGGCAATATAAATATCCAATTTTAGTGACGATTTAATGTTTAAAATTCCACAAAATGTTTTCCATGTCTGGCCGGCTTGAATTCGAATCATAAAAGCACAGAAAAAGACAATTCACTTAAAACGTACTTATTTACTTAAATCAAGCTTAATAAGCCTCACTTTGGATTTTGTAGACAAACCCAGACAACTGCCCTTTCTAAAAAGTTTGTAACGTAGCATTAAACATGAAACTGGGCCGAAAACCTTCATATTAAACTCTTATCATGAACAAAATATATTATGTTGACATTAATCCTGTAAATAATATTACATGAAAAACACAAAAGAAGGTTATTAACCTCAATATAAATATAGAGTAAAATGATTTAACTTTAACCATACTTTAAGAGTATAGCCAAAGTAGTAATACTGACTACCCTTTTACAGAATTTAAATTATTTTATAACTCTTGAAATATTGAGTAACTAAAAACACAATTGATAAAGTGAAGAGCAAAAAGTTGAAAACAAAGTGACAATCCTTCAAGGCAATTCCATTACCATGCTCAAAGTAATCTGAAGGATCGTCACACTGCTCCCCCTTTAAAAACAGTTCGTCCTCGAACTATGGAATTATTGATAAAAGATGCAAAATCATACATGAACACATTACCTAAAATAAGCATTTCACACATTATTTACAACATAGTACTTAGTAAAGGAATTGATAAACATATATACACAATAAAGTTTTAATGTATAATCAGTTTACTACTTAATAAACATAAGTCTAAATCAAAGACAATGTTAGTTTACACTTTTCTCGATTTCTCACCTGAAATACATAATATAATAAAAAGGCTAGCATAATCTAATAAACAATCATGTTAATTACAAAAAATGTTTCTAGCAGCATCAGTGTCTTTCATCTTTTTCTTGTATGTCATGGTTCTTGTGAAGGGTTGAAGTAATATCCATACTTTCTGCACTAAGTTTATCAAACATTCTTACCATCACATTCATTGATGATACAGTCATTGTCACTGGTTTCCCACTATAATAGGGGAATGTGTTTAGTATTTGGCATGGTCTCTAGTACAATATAAAATTGAGATTGTCAGCCATTCTTTGTGTCCTTCCTCAAAATGCAGAGTCATCACAAAGCTGCAGAATCAATTCTCATACGTATAGGGTACATGTCTCTGTTCATAAGCCTTAATTCCCAATATCGTCGCTTCATGGGGTACACCAAATAAGTCACGTTAATCGAACAGCAATCATGATAGTGTTCATCTGTTCAGATTACTTTTATATAGCATAGTGTACAATATTCATTAGGTTGAAGGTCATCACTTGGTTCATGCTGGGCTGGAATAAAAGTTTTACAGTCCTGGAAATAAGACTGGTTGTTCACATAGTACAATAATACATTTTGAATATCACACATGTGATATGAATTGGCCAAAAAATAAAGGGTTATCAAATGAAATTGAATCAATCAAACGTATCTTCAAGATATATCCTTTCACAAACAGTTTCCAATTGGAAGGATTCAGATAATATCTCATAACATTTGTACTGAGAATGATTCAAATTCAGTCAATATTGCCCTTTTAGTACAAAGGCAGTTAGGGAGGCGAGGTAGGATTCAAACTTGATGGGAACATCCATTGCTTTGGATGGGGTCACAAGCTGGGACAGTTGCTTGAAAGTGGTACTGGGGGTATGAGGGGAACCTACAGTCAGAAGTAGGGAAACACTTCGATGAAGCAAATGGACAGAGCTCTTGTCCATCGGGCACTCACCCCCAGGGGTCACAAGTTGATCCACCTCAATTAAACAGAAGCAGGGACAAAACTATAATTATATTGCAATGTCCTTTGGATTTCAATAGACTTGTTTCCCAAAGCGTAAACAGGCTTCATGTCTGTAAACATTGGTTGATCAGGCCAATGTTCACAATGAACCCCATTGCTTGAGTAAAGCAGGTCACTGGTGATCCATAACAGTTCAACAATTAAATAATGCCCTGTCTGTGGTCATGTCATCACTACCACTGAGCATTGTAGTTTAAGCTTATCAGGAATCAAAGCTTCAACAGCTCAGGACATCTGGTAGACATAAGATGAGAAACATCAGGAATGGGACAGGAATGCTTCAGTAAAGAAAAATAAAATTAGTTTTTTTCTCTTACATTCACATCAAACACATATCGTTTCACCAGCCACTCTTTGGAAGGATATGATGTACCTGTGGTGGCTTGGACTTACTATACAGATACATTCATGCAAGTTAGCTTAAAAGCTAACTTAGCCTACCCTTAAGGTAGGGGCAGGCATTTACACAGTGAGTGTCTTGGGCACAATAGAAGCATACCGTGGCTCCAGGAAATTTGGAGTTTGGATGTCTTTTGGTACAATCAAATACTGAATGACTTCCAGAGTCACATATTTTACAGTATTTTCTTTTCAGTTTAGAATCAGGTTTCTCCTTTGTTATAGTTTGAGTCAGATTTCTGGCTAAAGCCTCTATCTTTTGCTCCACTATTTCAATCACATCATTCTCAGAAAGAGATAATGAGGTAGATGAGTTAACCTGAACAGGAGTTGGAGTAGCACATTTACCAGGATCTTGGAAACTTTCAAGTCTCTTCTTCCTTCCCTTGAAGAAAGCCTCATATTGTAAAGCCATGGTAAGAGCTTCATTGAGGGTTTTAGGGTTAGAAAAAGA